ATTTCCCCTATCATATTATGGATTTTGGAGGCTGTTTATCTTTTATAAACGCTATTATTTTTTAACCTTTTTGTGTCAAATATCTTTATTTAACTCATCTTGAGTTGACTAATTCCAGTCAGTGGTTTGTCAGTTATTCATGGCCTTCATAATTTCCATGCGTCCCGTTCACTGCCTGACAGAAAATACTTTTTTTTTTAGATACTGTAAAAAGAAAACAATGTGAAATCACCCCATGGAGACAGTCGATCGCTAGAAGGTCTTCTCCAGGAGCCCACATAATGGTCCGTGACCCTGATGAATTATTGATGATCAGATTAAATCAGTCTGCCGTCTGATGTAAACAGAGCCATTCAGGAGGTGTTGGCGCTAACATTGTCATGCTGATTGTCCCCACCAGGGCTGTGCTTTTCAGAGGGAGATCTGTGATCGTGGGCACCTGATAATCAAACACACCCCTGGGGTCACAGCCCATGCCAACACACATAACCACCAACGTCAACTGGTTAATAAGTAAACAGTTAAACTTTTTCTCCCTCAAAATCCCTGATTAGCAGAAGCAAACCCATTAGCCGTGTGCTAAAACAGCTAACCTGAGTGAATAGCTTGATTGGCTCTACTGGATTTCTATTCCATGTTGGAAACATCACATGATCAGTAATAATTTCATACAATATATTTAAAGAGTCACTTGAAGGTTTTTCAAAGCAAAAAAAAAGAAAGAAAAGAAGCTATATTTAGCCTTAGCTAGCACGGATGCTATAAGGGAATGACGTGTGAACGTTTGTATACAACAACAATAAAAAAATTGAACTACTGAGTTAATTTGCCATATTTCATTTCTGTAAAGTTTTATTTTATTTTTTAAATTAATTTGGTCAGCCATTTCTTTATTATATTATTTGGTTTGTTATCCTAGCGCAGCTTTAGCGTACATCCGACACAAAAATTACTTATTATTATATCATCATTATTGTTTATTGTTATTGTTTATGATTATATAATAATAATAATAATAACAATACAATAATAATCATGATTATTGTTATGATTATTGTTATTATTATTATTGTTGTCAGTTATAACCATGAAAATCACGAGAATGGTTGAAATTGTCAGTTATGACCATGAAAATCACGAGAATGGTTGAAATGAATCTATACCACGTGTCCATGCAGCTACAGACAACACTGCCACTATACACTCCTAGTGTAACACAACGATCTCTGCGGCGTTCTATAGTTGTGTTTTGAGAACGTTGTGTAATAAATTACAGGTGTGGAAAACCACTACGGTGTCATGAAGGGAGGTGAAAAAAAAAAGGTGATAACCTTTTAAACGCTTTATCTCCACAGTGAGTGAAGTTACAAAACACAACAAAGGTCAGTCAGCGACCCAGCGTTCAGCCCAGCGGCGGCAGACCGCCATCACATCACCGACCCTCCGTCCACCTCCCCAACACTCACGAACTCCAACAGCTCCATTCACTCGTGTGGCCAGTATGGCGTCCGTTATAGTGACTTAACAGACGCCACACAAAATGCGTAATGACGTCTGGGCCGAAACGAGGATGCGGGACGTACCGAAACACACTCGCGCACACACGAAGGCTCACATGAAGGCAAGCACTATCACTCACTTTTGGTGTCTTTCCCCGTCGTAGTCAAGTTTAGGGAGAATCTTTAACGTGGATGTAAGTTTTTAAACCTCCTCCTCCTCCTCCACGGTCCGGTCCTCGTCCTCGTCCCACCTCAGCAGCCTGGAACTAACGGTTCAGAGGAGTGTGCCCAGCCCGCTGCTACAGCTCAGAAAGGCGCAGTTTGTTTTTTTTATCAGCAGCTCCAGTGTCCTGATATCCGGCCTGATATCATCATTTTCCCCTTGTCTTCAAAGTTGTTTTTTCCCCCGCGGCTTGGGCAAAGATTTGTGGGACGAGAAACGCCCAGAAAAGTTACAAAAGCGCGAGTGAAAATGTTCTCACGGGAAAAATAAAAAAATAAAATAAAAAAAAAACCCTCAAAACAAAACGTCCAGACTTGTCTCTCGCGATGTGTTGCAGTGTAATCTGTCCCCCCTCCTGGTTGACCGGGAGTCTGCGGGTTCTCTGTGAGTGTGTGGCCGGGCAGAGGTGGAGATCTGGCCCGCAGGACAGCCGAGTGAAGGAACAGGCGAACGAAGGGAGGAGTAAAAGAGGGGAGTCATCGGGGGGATAACGGAGAGGGAGGTACGTAGATGACGTCTGCGCATATGACACACACACACGCGGTTTTCTTTTTTCTTTTTTTGTGAGCTCTTCACATTGACCTAGTACATTTCCTAGCCCCTTACCCCAATTATTATTATTATAAACGAATCTACGTCTAATCCTAATCTAATCTGACTGTTTCTAGTTCTAACTTCAGACTAAATCCTGAACCTGAATTAAAACATCCTCTCACTCAGCTGTGAGGTTCTCAAAAAAATGTCCCCAAAAGGTCCAAGTGGCCCCCTAAAACAGTAGTATTTAAATTATGTCCTCACAACTGTATGTAACTTACACTCACGCGGAGTACTACATCACACGGGCATATTGCGCCCCCTACCCCAGGTGTGGTATTTCTACCACCGAATAAGAGTTCACCAAGAGCCGCGAAACACAATAAGGAAGTGTGTGACGTTAGTAAGTACTGTAGTAATACTTCAGAAGTCCAAGTACAAGTACAAGTACAAGTAAACACATATGCACTCGGGCATTGAAATGTCCCACTCACTACGGTGAACCTGAAGTAAACAAAACCCTTAGCTTAAATTAAGCTGAAAATGAAGTGTTGCAGGTAAAAATTTGGTTTTAAACTTTAATATTCTGTAAATGACGACATCAGCCGACTATCGACTAATAAAACTGACGTCATCTCTAAGTTAAAATTTAAAATCTATTTAGTTATGTTTCAAAATCTGCTAACAACAATTTACAAATGAGATCTTGCTAAATGAGGACAAGGCTGTGGCCAATCTAACAAAAAGATGTTTTTGTGCCATAAATATGACGTCATATTGTAAACAGATACTGTATAACATTATTCCCAGTTTTTTTTATAAATACCCAGCACATACACTCTGTCCTACTTGGACAGTTTTACATCTGGGACCGTGTCAACTTTCATATATACCATATTATTTTAGTAGCATACATGTATGCTAATATGCTAATATACTACTATATTTTCTGGAACTCTTAAATTTTGCTGTGTTTTTGCTTGTTGTACTGTGATATTTTAGTTGCCGCAACCCATGACGGCCGCCCCGGTCCCCATGATCCATGGACCATTAAATGTTGCACGCGAGGGGTCACGGCCTGACATATGGTACAGTGTGACATGAACTCCACTCGGCCCCGGGCCTTAAAAAAAAGGCCTCGACCCAGATAAGGACTGGTCTGCACATGTGAAAAAAAAAAAAAAAAAAAAAAAGGTAAGTGAGGTGGTGACACCGTGTCTTCGATCACCTGGATTCTGTGACATCTTTATTCAGGACAGTTACTGTAACGACCAATAAAGATTAGACAATAGTATAGACCACGGCCCCGCTGATAGATCTGCCGTGAAACCGGGTCATAAAGTGGTCACAGCAGATAAAAGACTCCAAACTCGATCTCAGTAAAACTGCATCTGCTTATTCCCCCTAAATAAACTCACCTAAGGCCGCCCCCTTGTGGTCATATCTGGGATGTGCACTTCCATTTTTTGACACACACATACAGATCGTTTTTTATGATGTTTTTTACCTGCTCTTGACCCTTACTGTGACCTTAACTCAGTGTTTCTCAATATCGGGTTCACGACTCCACGTAGGTACACCAGGAATTAAAATAGGGTCGCCTGAAATGTCAAGTAATGGATTAAAAAAATCATTAATTAAAATGATGTTTTGTTTTCTGTGGTGATCAGTGTCATCACACTCACCTGAGCCTCAGTCATTAGTCTCTCTGGTGTCACCTAGTGCCCCGGGTGTATTTATTTATACACCTCACTCCCTCACTCAGGTGTTATTATGATTGTGGTGTTTCCATGTTGCCCGTACACACAAGGAAAAAAAATAAATCACAGCATAACATTCTGTATGATATTGTTTGTTTTTTTTATTTTAACTTAAAAAGAGAGTGGATCAAAAAACAGGATTCAATAAATTAGAAATAAATATAATTGCTGTAATAATTAAATAGGTACAATTGAGAGTCTGACAGAAACTGGCCCTCACAAGGTTTTTTTTTCTTCTTTTTTTTCTAAAAAATTCTAAAATTATATTATTGCAACCCACTCAAAACCCATTTCCCTGATAAACAAAAATAGGCAATAAATTAGTAAATAAATAAATAAAAAATAGCTTGAATATTAAACTTCCCCCCAAAAAAGTAAGACCCCCCCTAACCCCCCCTCCCCCCCGCTTCACCTAAAATCTAAGTAGAAATTTAAAACAGCTTTGTGATTTTCCCATTGTACAATTTGGAATGTAATATCCCTTTATGGAAATGATGACATTACTAGTGATAATAATAATAATAATAATAATAATAATAATAATAATAATATTAATAATGCTGTGTCCTGTTCAGTGTTTATCTAAAGACGTATTATTTTTGCATTTTTCCTGTTTTTATTTAAATGCTGCTCTTTGCAAACTAAATTATTTACAGGTCGTTAGGCCACTCCTCCAGTGCTCTCTCTCTCTCTCTCTCTCTCTAACTTACTTATTTAACTGTATTTTTTTTTTTTTTGCCTTTACACACACTTTTTTATGAAAGATCAGTTCCTCTATATTTGTCATGTAACAGACAGGGTATAGACGTGATGAAGTCCGTTGCAGTGATATATCGGCATTTTCCGGAACCTCCGCACGCACACACACACACACACACACACTCGCTCGCTCCGAGTTTGTCTCGACTGTGACGAACTCCCTTGTTGGCAAACTCCACACAGACTTTGGTCATACCAAGCTCTGGGCTGTAGGGGGCAAAATTCCTGACGCACGTCACCTGCGTGTGTATAAGCGTGAGCGTTGGCAGGTGTGTGTGTGTGTGTGTGTGTGTGTGTGTTTGGGTATGTATCTGAGTTTGTGCACTTTATGTACAGTTGTATATCAGTCTTGTACCATCTGAGGTTCAATGGTGAGTTTGTGTGTGTGTGTGTGCGTGTGTGTGTGTGTGTGTGTGTGTGTGTGTGGTCGCGTCCTCTGGACACTCAAAGGAAGCAGACGGTCTGAAAGCACATAGAACCTCTTGGAATTCCACTTGTGCTGGACTCTGCAG